AATTTTATTGATTTTTTTTTTACTTTTTTTTTTATTTAATTTATTTAGAATTATTACCTTTAAAATAAAGTTTTTGGATTTAATTGAATTATGTTTATCCAATTAAAAAAAAATTAAAACTTTATAAAATTATTTTATTTAAAAAATAAATTTTTTTACATTTACTTTATTAATCATTTATCTAAGAAAAATATCAATTAAAAGTAATTAGAATTTAAACAGATTTTTACAATCAAATTTATTAACAGATTTTATCTTTTATTAAAGAAAATATAATTTAAATTTATTCTAAAAAAATAAGTAAAAAATAAATTTTTTAAAGTTATATTTGAAGCTTATAAATATTAAAATAGTTTAAAACAATTTGATATCATAATTTGCCAAGTGAGTTGAGTAAATATTTTAAAAGATTCTTTAGAAAATATTCAAATAAATGATTTCTTTTCTTGAAAGAAGATCGCTTAAATAATTGCGAAATCATTTATCAAAAACTCACATGATTTTGAATACATTTTCTGTTGTCTCTTTAGAAAAAAATAAACGTTTCTGGATTCAACTTTGTTAATTAAATTGTAATTTTTTAGAATTTACACGTATATTGAATAAATATCATTCATTTATCTAAATTACTTTCTAAAATTCGTAATGATTTTATATTAGTTTTTTAAGATTTTTATCAGCTTGTTTAGGTTTGATTTGCGAAATTGAAGGGTGTTTATGTTCTTCATTCACGCTTTTTCGTTTACTCTCTTTTCTTATTTTTATTTTATTTTCTAGTGAATATTTACATAATTCGCTCAAATTTTTGCAAATATATTAAGTTAAATTATTAGAAATGGTGATTTTTTTAGAAGGTTAATAAATAACGTTTGCTAGTGAATTAAATCATAAATATACTGATTTTTTACACGATAAACAATTAAAATTTAATAGAATTTTAATTATTTAGTATACTACTAAGGTACTTAATCTATTAATTTTTTTAGAAGGTTGAAAACAAATAACATTTAATGATAAATTAAATTATTAATATTCTTAATTTTTAGATGATGGTAAACACTCGGAGTTTAATAATTAAACTATTAGCATACTGACTTTTTAAAAGATTATCAATCAGCATGTTTACTTTAAGTAACAAAATGGACTTTTGTATCCTGCAAAAATGAATTTTATAAAGAAACCAATAAATATTTTCAAAAAATGACAGTTTTATATGCTACAGTAAGCTAATTTAATGATGTACCCACAGGATTTCTCTGCATATAAGCAAATTATTTACAGTTAAATACAGTTATATAAAAAGTTAATTGAGTGATATTTTTTAGATGAAAGCTCTATTGACGATGTTGGGGGTCTGTTTATGTACTGCTGCATTTCTATTGGTCAGCGAAGCATTACCTACTGATCATCGTATCCAAGTACGAAGAACGAGATTGTGTGGAAGACACCTGGTTGAAGCTTTAGCACTAGTTTGTGATAGCGAATACTACGAACCTCAACCCCTCAGAAAGCGCAAGAATATGATCAAAAGTAAATATTCACACTTTAATCAATTAGAATTACTTATAAAGTAATTAAAAGTAATCATAATCCAGTCATAATATAGTAAAATGTGTGAAAATAGAGGACGTTCCGCTGTTTTCATGCTTTAAATCATTCATCTATAATTATAAAAGTATTAAAAAAATGAATTTTTAGAATTTGGTAAACTTACTGAATATTAATTACAATCATAAATGGGCACCCATAAATTAATTAAAATCAATTTAATCGCGATATAAAGTAGTAAAACGTGTGTAAACAAGAAAGAGCTCCGCTGTGCTTCACTCTTTTCATAAGTAATTATAGTTATAAGATTAAAAATAACTCAATTTTTTTAGAATTTAATAAGATTATTAGTTAATTTAATAAGCTTATTAATTATAATTGGTCATAAATTAATTAAAAGTAATTAGAATTTAAACAGATTTTTACAATCAAATTTATTAACAGATTTTATCTTTTATTAAAGAAAATATAATTTAAATTTATTCTAAAAAAATAAGTAAAAAATAAATTTTTTAAAATTATATTTGAAGCTTATAAATATTAAAATAGTTTAAAACAATTTGATATCATAATTTGCCAAGTGAGTTGAGTAAATATTTTAAAAGATTCTTTAGAAAATATTCAAATAAATGATTTCTTTTCTTGAAAGAAGATCGCTTAAATAATTGCGAAATCATTTATCAAAAACTCACATGATTTTGAATACATTTTCTGTTGTCTCTTTAGAAAAAAATAAACGTTTCTGGATTCAACTTTGTTAATTAAATTGTAATTTTTTAGAATTTACACGTATATTGAATAAATATCATTCATTTATCTAAATTACTTTCTAAAATTCGTAATGATTTTATATTAGTTTTTTAAGATTTTTATCAGCTTGTTTAGGTTTGATTTGCGAAATTGAAGGGTGTTTATGTTCTTCATTCACGCTTTTTCGTTTACTCTCTTTTCTTATTTTTATTTTATTTTCTAGTGAATATTTACATAATTCGCTCAAATTTTTGCAAATATATTAAGTTAAATTATTAGAAATGGTGATTTTTTTAGAAGGTTAATAAATAACGTTTGCTAGTGAATTAAATCATAAATATACTGATTTTTTACACGATAAACAATTAAAATTTAATAGAATTTTAATTATTTAGTATACTACTAAGGTACTTAATCTATTAATTTTTTTAGAAGGTTGAAAACAAATAANTACTAAGCTTGTTAGATCGTTTAAACAATATATAATAGTTTAATTATTATTAAAATGAGGAGAAACGAGGGTTTAGAATGTTTAAAACTTCTCTTTCATCCATTAAAATGGGTATAATAAAGTGAATCATGCACTTGAATAATGCGTGAATATGCAAAGTTGATTATTCCAAATTCTATTTATTATAATAATAAAGTGAATAACTGATCCTACTTTTAACACTATTTAATTAAATTATTCTAATAAAACCAAAAACTAAGTAATAATAGCACTTAAAACAGATTTAAGTACCCCTTTTACCAAAAAATAATAAACAGTAGCTTAATAAATTAAGTAAAATAAACAATTTAATCATCGAAATTTAATTAAAACAATTTATTCTAAAAAAATAAGTAAAAAATAAATTTTTTAAAATTATATTTGAAGCTTATAAATATTAAAATAGTTTAAAACAATTTGATATCATAATTTGCCAAGTGAGTTGAGTAAATATTTTAAAAGATTCTTTAGAAAATATTCAAATAAATGATTTCTTTTCTTGAAAGAAGATCGCTTAAATAATTGCGAAATCATTTATCAAAAACTCACATGATTTTGAATACATTTTCTGTTGTCTCTTTAGAAAAAAATAAACGTTTCTGGATTCAACTTTGTTAATTAAATTGTAATTTTTTAGAATTTACACGTATATTGAATAAATATCATTCATTTATCTAAATTACTTTCTAAAATTCGTAATGATTTTATATTAGTTTTTTAAGATTTTTATCAGCTTGTTTAGGTTTGATTTGCGAAATTGAAGGGTGTTTATGTTCTTCATTCACGCTTTTTCGTTTACTCTCTTTTCTTATTTTTATTTTATTTTCTAGTGAATATTTACATAATTCGCTCAAATTTTTGCAAATATATTAAGTTAAATTATTAGAAATGGTGATTTTTTTAGAAGGTTAATAAATANTAATTATTTTTTTTAGTGCCATGGAAATCTTTGATGGAAGTACCGGAAGGTGTTGGATTTTTAGATCGGAAGCGCGCTCTATCATTTTATAGAAACGATGATTTTTTTGAAAGACGAACACGAGGTATTGCTGACGAATGCTGTAAGAAGAGTTGCACTATTAGAGAACTCGCTTCTTATTGTAAACATTCGATTTTTTACGACGACGACACGAACGAAAAGAAATAATGAATTAATATAAAAAAAGAAGAAGAAGAAAACTTTATATCAGGGACCGTTTTATTTTTCTTTTATTATATTTTTGTTGTCTACATTTTACTTTTCACTCTTATGCACGCGTTCATCACTGTACTTCTGTATTCAGTGGCCAATTTCGATCAATAAACTATTATACGTGTTCAGTAAAAATAAGTATCTTTTATTCGTGATGATATATTCATGTGCTTTATTTAATTATGAAGCGCATTACTGGAATATTATTATTTTTTTTTTTGCACTTTTAAAATTTTAAACGTGATTAAACCACAAAAATTAAGTAGGGGTGCGTCTAGATGACAAGCAGCTAAGTAAAAGCCAAAAAACAGTCAAATTGCTGGATTTCTTTCTACCAACCCATTGAAACCACCGATGGGCCCAACAGTGGCTCACAGTTTTTGGGGGTTTTCTACTAAACTAGAGACTTTGGGCAGTTACTTTTATAGGAAACGAACTGTCATTGGCTTGTCTACTATGTGGCAAGTATACTTGCCACATAGTATATCTGAACGGTCGAAAGCTGCACTTGAACACGTCTTTGAGCAACTTCAGTCACGTTTAAATAATTTAATGCATGTTTGATAAAATTTAGACCTGTCTAAAGTAAGCATGTTTATAAAAAAGAAATAAACTATCTGAACCTGAATCAAAAATATATCAACGTATTTAAACGACTTCAAACGTGTGTTCATCGCGCGTACAGTACATGTCAATTGTTATTAATTACGTTTATACTGCCTTTTAGTTAAAATATAAACTTCTATTTAAAATAAATCATGATAATATTAAATATTTATAAAAATATTGTAAGGCTAAGTATAAATTAATAATTTTTATTCTCGAGAGGCCATTTTTATTCAAGAAATGGACAAGTTAAATATAAAGCTAAAACGCACTGGTGCCTATCTATTACTGGATTTGAAACTTCTTTTAAGCAAGTTTAAACGTGTTTAAACCTGCCTAATAGAATTATTGACGAAATATTATCCGAAATTGTAAATTTCTACTACTAAAATTGGAAATTTTTCAGGATATGATGATTGTAAGAATTTAATAAGTTGCGTCACGATAAACCAATTTTTACGTAAAAATTTTTCAAGTGTTTTGACATTTTATTTTATTTTTTTAAAAATTATATAACTTATAAAGCAGTTCCATTGTTAAAGAGATGAAATCTTTTAAAAAGATAAATTGAAAATTCAATATAATTTAAAAGAAAATAAAATCAAATTGGTTTGATATACTACGCAGACTACAATGATTGTAAATTAAGCGACACCTAATGGTTACTCAATTTGCGTCACACTAAAGTTCGTCTGGTCATATTGTTCGAGTGTTATTTTTAGATCAATTAAACTTAATTTTTTAAATCTTTAAATAATTTATTTATGAAATTATTTTTATAATTTATTATTCAATACTTTTAGATTTTAAACGTAATTTTTTTTAATTTTTAAATAAATTTACTGTATATGTAAATAGTCTTTAACAATTAGGTTGCGTTTGCGCTGCCATCTGGTATTAAAAAAGAGAAATATGAAAAGTGATTATATCTAAGCATAAAAGTGATTATACCTAAAAAATTATCAAAAAATTAAAATATGTGTCCTGTTTCATACACAGTATAAAAAATAAACTTTTTAGATATTTAAATATTGATCACCCATAGAACTATATCTGTACATAACAGTTCTAATCTCATTTCATTTAAAACTCATTACTTTTATTATTTTAAAGATACAAATGGGTTTTAGAACGAATATTAGCAGCTTTTGCTCTAATTAAAAAATATTGTATTACTTTGAAGGTTCCCATAACTTAAATTAATAATCACGATATGGTTATTTTTGGAATATTTTTTGAAAGAATTCCTGATAATTATATATTTTTCTCTATCTTTATTGAAAAAAATGAATATATAGCTTCATTAATCTCAACGTTAGCTGTGACATCGTTTTTAATTATTTTAACTGTAAGCTAGATGAACTGTAGCGGATAATTCACAAGAGTTGTAATAAAGACAAGCATTAACATCAATAAAAAACTTATTTTTGCACATTCAGCTTATAACATAGAAGTTTAAGAAGCATTAATTAACCAGTGGTAGAAAAGAAAATGCTTAATAATCTTTCGTTAAGATTCTTCTTCTTTATTAATTAACTAGCTGTTATCCACGACTTCGCCCGCGGGGGTTTTGCAAGCAAATCCCATTTATATTCAGTATTTCAACAACCATAGTAATTGTTATATAAACACTACCGCTGAGAATGATGAGAATTGCTGAGAATCAAACGAACTATTTTCAATTTGATCAATTTTCTGGAACGTTTACAATCATTCTATAATCGAAACACTATGCGATAACAAACTCGAATTTAAAACGGTTCGAACATTTGGTTAAAAAATCGAAATATATAAAAATATTTATAACAATGTCTGAAATGTTATCAGTTTAATACATCTAAGAACTCAATGAAGGCTAAACGTAACTGAAAACAAAAANAGAATGCTTAATAATCTTTCGTTAAGATTCTTCTTTATTAATTAACTAGCTGTTACCCGCGACTTCGCCCACGGCGCTTTTGTAAGCAAATCCCATTTATATTCAGTATTTCAACAACCATAGTAATTGTTATATAAACTCTACCGCTGAGAATGATGAGAATTGCTGAGAATCAAACGAACTATTTTCAATTTGATCAATTTTATGGAACGTTTACAATCGTTCTATAATCGAAACAATATGCAATAACAAGTTCGAATTTAAAACGGTTCGAACATTTGGTTAAAAAATCGAAATATATAAAAATATTTATAACAATGTCTGAAATGTTATCAATTTAATGCATCTAAGAACTCAATGAAGGCTAAACGTAACTGAAAACAAAAAATCGCATCTAAAATAATACAGTAGAAGCCGTTCTTCAGGTTAAGCCTTAATCCTCTCCCTCTCGCCCACGGGGGAATTTCGAAAAATCCCTTCTTAGTGTGCGTTTTCATGACGTATCCAGTGTACAAAATTTCACCTTTAGGTTAAGCGGTTTGCTCTGGGCGATGATGAATCAGTCAGTCAGTCAGTCAATTTTATATAGGCTATTTAGATTATTAAGAAATTAAATATTATTTTTATACTAATATTTATATATTTTTGCTTTTTTAATGAATTTCATTGTCAAATTAATGATTAAAATGAAAAATTGTAGTTTAACTGTGAGTAAAAAAGTTGTGTGTTTATCTAAAAAATTAAAATCCTTATATATAAAAGTAATATTTTATAATAATTTTCAATTAATATTTAAAAGATTGCATTAGATAATATTCAGAAAAATTATTTAAAAATATTCTTATATAAAAAATTCGATCTGGAAGTTATTACCAGATAAAAAAATGGTGCTGTATTCAGAGGACTTCTCGTGTTACTGAAAATTGTTCTATATTATAAAAATCAAACGATTTATACGAGAAATTAATCGTAAATATTTTAAAATATTTATGATTTTCTCAAACATGACCCTAATTTAAATATTCAACATATTCAAGACGTTCCCAATTGTTATATAACAGAGCGAAAGTATGGCGATCGTCATAAAATGACCCTTCCCAAGATTTTTATATTTTTGAACTCGGAACCTTGAAACGTCGAGAAATGCAAAAAAGTTGGAGTTTTTTCTGTATGTATGGATGTTAGTGTATATGTGTGGGGGGCGTGATTTTTTCACCCACTTTGAAATTTAATGACTCCTGTACGTTTTATCGAAAATGTCTGAATTTTTCGATAAAACGCACAGGAGTTATTAGGGAGGTATNAAATATTTATAACAATGTCTGAAATGTTATCAATTTAATGCATCTAAGAACTCAATGAAGGCTAAACGTAACTGAAAACAAAAAATCGCATCTAAAATAATACAGTAGAAGCCGTTCTTCAGGTTAAGCCTTAATCCTCTCCCTCTCGCCCACGGGGGAATTTCGAAAAATCCCTTCTTAGTGTGCGTTTTCATGACGTATCCAGTGTACAAAATTTCACCTTTAGGTTAAGCGGTTTGCTCTGGGCGATGATGAATCAGTCAGTCAGTCAGTCAATTTTATATAGGCTATTTAGATTATTAAGAAATTAAATATTATTTTTATACTAATATTTATATATTTTTGCTTTTTTAATGAATTTCATTGTCAAATTAATGATTAAAATGAAAAATTGTAGTTTAACTGTGAGTAAAAAAGTTGTGTGTTTATCTAAAAAATTAAAATCCTTATATATAAAAGTAATATTTTATAATAATTTTCAATTAATATTTAAAAGATTGCATTAGATAATATTCAGAAAAATTATTTAAAAATATTCTTATATAAAAAATTCGATCTGGAAGTTATTACCAGATAAAAAAATGGTGCTGTATTCAGAGGACTTCTCGTGTTACTGAAAATTGTTCTATATTATAAAAATCAAACGATTTATACGAGAAATTAATCGTAAATATTTTAAAATATTTATGATTTTCTCAAACATGACCCTAATTTAAATATTCAACATATTCAAGACGTTTCCGATTGTTATATAACAGAGCGAAAGTACGGCGATCGTCATAAAATGACCCTCCCCAAGATTTTTATATTTTTGAACTCGAAACCTTGGAACGTCGAGAAATGCAAAAAAGTTGGAGTTTTTTCTGTATGTATGGATGTTAGTGTATATGTGTGAGGGGCATGATTTTTTCACCCACTTTGAAATTTAATGACTCCTGTGCGTTTTATCGAAAATGTCTGAAATTTTCGATAAAACTCACAGGAGTCATTAGGGAGGTTTGTGTATTAGGAAAAAATGTTTCTAGAAGTTTTCAGACAAATCGGATCATTGATTGGATATTCAGGGGATAGGGTAATATCTCAAAAATCTTCCAATATATAAAAATTATTCTTAAAAATTTTTAATTCAAAGAATAAATGTATTTGTTTGGAAATGCTTTTTAAAAATTCACTACAACTCCCAATACTAAAATTCATTTTATTTTTTAAATAACTTTTGATGGAATAAACCAATTTAGTTATACAGTATCATATCAATAAGTAGGTATATATTAATTAATAAAATACTTTTAAGAAATTGATATTTTCCCAAACCCCAACTCTAAGTACGAAGTAATTTTATGAAA